AAGCTACTTAAGTGAAAATATATAATGTGTCTTGTGAGTCGTCTCAGCAAGACAGAGCAATGTTACCAAGCAGGTTCAATTTTTCTTCATTTTTCTCTTAATTACTGAGCTGTGGAGTTGAGGTATGCTTTCATAGCCCTGCTGGTCAGAGAGATTCAGATTCAGACTTCTTTCCAGTTTTATTTTTTCATTGGCATGTACATCTGGTCTCTGAGACCATTGATCAAAGTGTCCTTTTTGCTGACTAAAGCACTTTTTCCTGAGGCCAAGTGCTTAGGGTATGTACCCTGCCCTGTCCCTGGGCTGGAGGAATAAGATCTATGTCTAAAGTGGACAAAAAAATGCCAGGAATGTAGAAAGTGGGACTCCTGAATCTGTATGGCGTCTCAGTTTATATCACCTACTGAACAGTTTTCGCGTCTGCTTCCTAAAGTTTTGTGTTCTAAATTTGACATCTTGGCTAAATCTCAGAAGCTTTGTGGGGATTGAGAGCTGGCTTTGGGCCACTGTCTTGTAATTTTCCTAAGTCACTTAGGCAAGTTGGTTGCGTTGTTTTATGGTTGCACCTTCTAGCCTCCTACACTTGAAAGCACATCCGAGAAAGGCAGATTGTGAGCTGGCAAGTGGCTTCCTGAAAAGGGCCCTCAGATCCTGAAATTCGCCAGAGGCTCAGAGTCCTGACTTGTAGAGCACGGGCCATCTTTTTTGGTTTTCCTTCTTGACGTGGCTAAAGCTTTGGAAGTTCATGCTGTTCTTGGTGTGTATTTCAGGCTGTTTATTTCATCTGCTCAGGCATATGCTCATTCATTCATTCCTTTGCGATCCTAGCGTGTCCCCAGTCGGGGCCCACTTACCCGTGCTCATCAGGAAGGGAGTCCTGGGAATGAGGAGGGCCGGTCAGGGAGCCCGTCCTTCTGGGAGAGGTTTCTAACCCCAGGCCTGAAGGAGGGGCAGGAGTGAGCCAGGCATCGCGGAGAGGGAGCTGCAGAGTATCCTGTGAGCACTCGGGGCGGGAAGGGTATCACCTGTCATCACACATTTGGGGAACAGAATGGCCAGTGGGGCTGGAGCATGAGGAACAAAGCGAGGGGTGTCAGGGGTGAAGTCGGGGAGGCCAGAGGGGCCGGATCGCACGCAGGTGAACCGTGTAAGGATCGCAAGCTTTCAGTGAAAACGGGAAGCCGATGACTGTCTTTGAATAAAGAAGTGATCATCTTTGGGGTTTAAAAATATCATTTAAGCTACAGTTTGAAAACCGATTGGGTTGAAGCAGGGGTTGGTCAGGGGAGTCAGTGAGGAGGCTTTGGGGGGGTTCCAGGGAACAGAAGACGGTGCCCTTGGAGGGCTGGTGGGCGGAAGTGCTGCTTCCTTGGGGTTTGGTGATTGATCGGAGGAGGCGAGGGGCAGGCGGGGGAGGACCCTTGTTTCTGGCGAAGGCTACTGGAAGGAGGGGCGGTCTGGGTCAGACCTCAGGTTCGGGGGTGTTCAGGGTCGACAGTAAACAAACAGATAAATCTCATGCGATAAGGTCTTTAACAGAAACACCACCATATGATCTGGTGGAGTGATAGGGTGCTTTCGGGGGGGCCTCTTTGGGATGATGTGTGATCATCTTTGAGACTGAATGGCCGGAAGAAGCCACCTGGAGGAGATCCAGGGAGATCTTTCTAGTAAGTGGGAACAGCAGGTACAAAGGCTCTCAGGCAAATGATGAGGCTGGCATGTTCAAGAAGAGAGGCCTTGGCTTCCAGGATTGGAGTGGATGAGGGAAATTTTAAGTCGTGTCCTGGAGAGGCTCCAGGGACCCCGCTGCATCAGGCTCTGGGGGCTTGGCAGGCAGTTTGCAGCTTATCTCAGTGTAGCAGGACCAATCTGGAGGGTTTTGAGTAGGGCGATGGCATATTCTGGTTTATATTTTATAAAATATAAGTAGCTGCTCTGTGGCAAAGAGATTGGGCAAGCGTGGAGGAAGCAGGGAGACAGACTAGAAGGCTGTGAACGTGTTCACATGCACGACGATGGTGACTTGGCCCTGGGGCAGTGGAGGTGAAGAGGGTTAACAGGTGCAGGATATGTTTGGGACGTAAAATCCGTGCGACCTGTCCAGGAGAAGGGCGTCTAGACTGAAGGGAAGAAAAAGAGAACTCAAGCCAAAAGGCCGTGTCTTGAGCAGCCGTGAGGACGGTTGTGCTTCTTGCTGAGACGGGGAAATTCAGGGAGGAGCAGGCTGCAGACAGGAATTAACTGCTGGGATGTGCTCATCTGCAGACGCCNCCCAGGTGAATTCTTTGCCAGCTGAGTCACAAGGGAAGCCCTTTAAGGCTGTAACCTATATAAAAAGTTTAATTTGGAGCCTAATCTAATGACTTGTGACATTACAGAGATTAAAATAATCTAAATCATGGAAGACTTTATCTCGAGTTGCATATCTATTAATTTAAAAAAAAGTAGGCTAATAGTCAATTGCATATTTAGAACTTTATCTGATTATAATTTATACCAAATATATGATAAGCATATTAACTATGTAGTTGATAGTAATATTATGATTTCAACATTAATGGGGACTTTCAGCATAATGAGCTCATTTTATGTATCAGTAGTATGCAGTTTAAAGACACTGAAGTTGAATAATGCTGTTATTTAGAAACTGCTTTTCAATAGGGGAGAATCTTATTTCCATTTATACATCGGCTGCGATAACTTTTTGTCATTCAGTTCAAATCATTGTGGCTGTGACTGTTCAGAAATGTGCGTTTGTTATTTGTTTGAGGTTTAGTTCATATATAAATGCTAATAAAAGCTGTGTCAGTTCCCCTTAGGTGACACTTCCAGTTGAGCAAGGTGTGTGGGAGAGAGAAGGACTTGTTTAAAAGAACGAAAGATTTCCCTTGCTTTAGTTCCCATAGTATTTCAAATACTTGCTGCTTTTCAACCAGTGGAAAGATAGATAGATGGATTTCCATCTCCTTCGTGACACGTTCATTTTCTAGTCCTTTGGGGTTGTGAACCTAGAGAGGGCATTTCACATCTTTCTGTCTCTCTGCCCTCATCTCTTACTAAGTGAACTGCTGTGTTGGACTGGAGCCATTTCAGCCTCCGCGTACCTGCCTGCCTGTCCCTCACTGTGGGACAGCGTTGGTCTCATGTGAGCCAGATGAATTTTGTTTCATCATCCAATGTTTTCAGGCTTTGCGCTTTCCCCGATTACCTCAAATCAGCGTGGAGCATGGCACCACAAGAATCCGCTCTTGTATTTTCTGTCTGGATATTCCACAGTCTTCCCTGATTGTTTCTGGATGGCGCACTGTTTGAAAGGGCTGTTTCACAGTTTAGGAGAATTCTTACTTATCTTACAATCCTCCCATATTAGTTGCCTGTAAGATAGGAAGTTATAATGAAAGGATTGAGTGAAACCATTCACTTGAGGGTACTAAATTCTCTCCGTAACAGCTAGAAGGGTAATCTGTGCAGGAAACCCTTCACAGGCATTGCCTCCCCGAGCGCCAGAAGGGGAGGAGGCCATGCCTGAAGCCCGTCCTTCAGGGAGGGTCCCGCTGAGCGTGACCTTGGCCTTGGCCGAGTCGGGTGGGGGCTTCACGGCCCTCTGGCTTCTGTCTCAGTTCGTCTTTCCCTTAGCCAGGAATGAAGATCCTCCAGGAACGGCTTTCTGCCTTGCTCTCCAGCCCTTCACACTTGCTTGTGAGTCGGGGATCCCGCATTGCGTCCCAGGGTAGGACACGGCGCCCACCTCTGGAGCTTGCAGGCAGCTGCTTGTGGGCTGGAGCTGTGAAGTGGGTGAAGCCTGTCTTCTACAGTGCCAGGCCCCCCACCTCCTTACCTCATTTTCTTCCTGAGATGCCTCTGTTTGCAACACCCTGAGACTTCTTTCTCCTGTTAAAACTTCCTCTCAGCAAAGAATCTGAACATTCATAGAAAGGTAGAATATATGTAACAATTGCTAAAAGCAATTATTTTTAAGGTGAATTTGTGTTTTCAAGCCATAGTCTTAAACTTTTAAGACTTTAAACTTTTCAAGGACAGCTGGCACCGCGCTTAGCGGCAGGACTGTGCCCGATTACCTTCTGTGGGGGGTCGACTTCCCCACCCACCTGTGAGCGTGAGCGGGTGCGCTGGCCTCGGCCGCCAGCAGCGGTCTGACGGAAGGCTCGGCAATTGCAGTTCCATCTGTGGACGCGGGTGTTTCGAACTGTGGTGTTGGAGAAGACTCTTGAGAGTCCCTTGGACTGCAAGGAGATCCAACCAGTCCATCCTCAAGGAGATCAGTCCTGGGTGTTCATTGGAAGGACTGATATTGAAGCTGAAACTCTTTGGACACCTCATACAAAGAACTGACTCATTGGAAAAGACCCTGATGCTGGGAAAGAGTGAAGGCGGGAGGAGAAGGGGACGACAGAGGATGAGATGGTTGGATGCCATCACTGACTCAATGGACATGACTTTGAGCACTGAGTTCTGAGAGTTGCTGATGGACAGGGAGGCCTGGCATGCTGCAGTCCATGAGATGGCAGAGAGTCGGACATGACTGAGTGACTGAACTGAACTTGGATGTAGGGGAGCCCTGAGTCTTTTGGGAGCAATGGTTGGAGATTTTCAGAGCTGGAGAGGCTTGGCAGGGTGCTCCAGAACCTTCTATGATGTAGACCTCAGCATAGGACACCACAGACCAGCTAAGTGACAGGGTCCTTCCCTTGTGTAGTTTTCAGACCAAAGTAAATAGGAGGATTCTGTCCAAGGTTCTTGTGATGAATACATTATACACATACGTGCATATGTAAGATATATATATATCTTATATATATATATATAAGGAAGATATATATACATGTTTTATTTGCATTTATGTTTTTAAAGCTATTTTAAAAAATAATGTTTGAATTATGTCGTCTTCCTCCCTTTCAGCTCCACGTTGTTCACTGGAATTCAGACAAATACCCCAGCTTTGTTGAGGCAGCTCATGAGCCAGATGGACTAGCTGTCTTGGGAATATTTTTGCAGGTGAAAATCCATTGATTTCATTTTGAATAACTAGTCAGCCATGTTGGATAAAGAGTTTCCTTGTGGAGTAGACAGTCCACCACTTTTTATTCAATAGTAGTAAACTTGTTCTAGGCTTAATGTTGTCCTTTTGAAGTGAATATTCTCATTTTATGTTAGTCTATGGTTCATCTAAGGGCCCAGAACTACCCTAGGAGGGTTTCTTATGATTCGTCTTATTGTCCACGGATCAGTTTTATGTGAATAGCAAATGTAGCTGCAGTAACAATAATAGCAGAAGTATTACCTAATAGCAGAAGTGTTACACTGATACCTTGAGAAGAAAATCTTTATGATAGGCTCTTCCTGATTGCTTAATATTTGGAGATACAGTTTAGGGTAAAGTTCAAGTTCCTGATTCTTGAAACACTAGTTTGACCACTAGTTTATTATGGTTTATTATCCCAAACGCACTGACCGATTTTAAAGATTTTGTTGTGTTTTCCTTTGTCTGGTATTCATATGAGGTTAGACAAGGGTCACTGTCCTAATACCTGTGCAAGGGCTGGGCGGCTCAACCCCCACGGTGCCAGATCCTTTAGGGTGAGTGCTCTCGTGATGCCAGCGGCTCTGCGTGTGGCGTAACTTGCCCGGGGGCTGGGGGAGGCCGGGCGCAGAGCGGAGACCCGCATGCATGGCAGCGGCGCCTTCTTTTGGCCCCCAGGTCTGGGGGTGGCCATGAGGTCCCAGTGGGGAAAGGCATTATACCTGAAGCCTGAATGACTTAAAGCCTTCAGATAATTCAGGACACCCCAAACAAAGGAAAATGACAAGCACATATATATTTTCTGAAGGCTTCTCCTCATGATGACATAGTCTGTTGATTCAGAACCTCAAGTCATTTTAAGCGGAAAGTGGGAGATGTTTTCCTCTAATGTCTGATGTCACCAAGAATCAGGGTCTGAAATCACATCTAGTTAAACAGTGCAGGTGTTATGGAGGGGTTTCCTAAGCAAAGTTTCTCTCTAGAGAACCTGTACCCTAAACGTTCATAAAGCTGGAAGAATATGAAGTCATTACTTCCAGCTTTGGAATCAAAGGTATAGTTCAGCCAAGGAGCCCTGTAATATTATCTTGTTGTTTAGACTTTTCTGGTATGATAAGGCTGGCAGGTGAAAGACAGCCTCATTATGGAACAATCACTGCTTGTTCTGAGCTGACTCAGGGTTTAAAAAAACAAATAGTGACTGAAATGGAGTAAGTCAGACAATAACCATTTCTTTTGGAATTTCATTTTCAGATTGGTGAACATAATCCCCAACTGCAAAAGATTACTGACATTTTGGATTCCATTAAAGAAAAGGTAAATTTAATTACTGTTTACCAGTGACTAATACGTTCCTTGATTTCTCCTGAATTCTCTTATGTTCTGTTAGTCTTTGGCGTAGCATATGCTGCTGGCTTGGAAGTGGGTTTGGAACATCCTTGACCAATAGAGCGGAAGTCACATTGCCACTTACCTCTTGAATATTATGAAGGGGTCTTAAATGATCTAAAACAATAATGTAAATTATTAAAATTTAATTTTATGTAAATTATCTAAAATTTCTAAAATTATCTAACTATCTTAAATTATCTAAAACAAATAATGTAGGGCCACTTACATTAAAAAGAAGTCCATATGACAAAAACCACTGCAATGTTGTAAAGTAATTAGCCTCCAACTAATAAAAATAAATGGAAAAAAATAAAAATAAAAAATAAAAATAAAAAGAAGTCCGGTGCTGCTTAAATAAATCTAGGTGAGGCGCTACTTTATCTTCAATTTTTAGAGTAAGGCAGATACTTTTTTTAAAGACCTAACAGCAGATACTAAAACATTCCATGAATTACAGAATTCCAGTGAAAGAGCGTTTCAAGGATATTTAATTTTTTTAGGTCTGTGTAAAGCTATCCCATTGTCATTTATGAGAATTCTCTTTTCTTCCTCAGGGTAAACAGACTCGGTTTACGAATTTCGACCCGCTCTGTCTGCTTCCTCAGTGCCGGGATTACTGGACGTATCCTGGCTCCCTGACGGTCCCACCTCTTCTGGAGAGCGTCACTTGGATCATTTTAAAGCAGCCTATAAACATCAGCTCCCAACAGGTACATGGCTCCCTCCACGCTCACCCTGACTCTCCGGGGGAAACCGAGCTGAATCTGGTGTGTGCGCGTGTCTCAAACCCTGCCCTTCGTTCCCGCTGTTGTGAAGCCTGTGTTTGCCCTTCATTGGTCGGATGAGCGGCTGAAACCCAGTGAGGTTTCTCTTCCTTTCTTATTTGACCTTCTGTGGTTAGATTATCTCTTTCCCATTTCTTAGAAACGTAATGTGCAGACAGGCATGCAGGGACGCGACGTGTCCCTTTAAGGGCTCTGCTCTTCTCTTGTGTGGTCCATCCGAGGTGTTAAAGGTCTGGGATACAAAAGGGGAAATCAGGAGAGAGGCTTCCCTCAAACGGCGACATTCTCCTTTTTGACCCCAGCGCCTGGACCTGCTCCTGCAGATTTCACGTTCAGAAAGGGAACAGTGAGAACAGCTGTGGGCCCAGCACTCGTGTACTTGCTAGATTGAAGAAGTCTATCTGATCTTCTGGCTTTTGTTGACAAAGCTATTGTGAAGCTGCCTGAAAAGCATTTGCTAAGAAGCTGTGGGTGGCCGCCTGGGCTCTTCCTGGGAACACATTTCCTCTCTCCTTCTTCTGATCAGGCTCCCGTGGTGGTCGATGGGCCCAACAGTCTGCAGGTTCAGTATGTCTTTGATGCCCAGAGGCTCCAGTTAGAGCTGTGATCCCCCATGGTGGTGGATTAGTCACTAAGTCATGTCCGACTCTTTGTGACCCCGTGGACTATAGCCCTAGTTCATCTTTCTCCCCTTCATGCACTAAATGGTTTGCTTTTGCTTTTCTTTATTAAATTTGAACAGGTTAATAGTAAGAGTTAATAAGGTAGTAGTAATAAGCGAATCATATTTTTTCTTACATTTTAAGAATTACTTTATCCATTAAAACCAGCTGGAAAATATATATTTTTTAATCCACCTGTGATTTGCAAGAGAATATATCAAAATATTATTTAGGCACATACAATACATACATTTAACCTAATCAAAAATAACACCCTGCAAGTGTAGGAATGACTGCCTAGATGTGAATTCACTATTGTATCTCATTTTAATCATTAACATTAATTATTAATGTAGTTTTTATGCAGTTTATAAAATAATAGCTGTATTTTAGAACTTCAGTGTGAGAGATACTTCATTGTGAGGTTCCATTTATTAATATTAATTATTAATGTGTTTTTATGCAGTTAGAGTTTATAAAATAATAGCTGTATTTTAGAGCTTTAGTGTGAGTGATAATTCATTCTGAGACATTCACTTTAATCTGCTATAGCAGGAACACTGTCAGACATTTTCAGTCAGATTGAAATGATTATTTGGGTAGTAATCACAATTAGTATGATATTATAATAGTTTGGTAATCCAAATTATTATGGTGATTTTAGGATTTAAAGAATGAAGTAAAGATATTTTAAAAGTCCAGTCCCATTTTAACCATGAGAAAAACATCAGGCAGTGCCCAGTTCTCAAAATATCTGATCAATAATCCTCAAAACTGTCAAGGTTGTGAAAAACATAAAAAATTGTTAAAAGCATGAAATACACAAGCAGACAAGATAAGAAGTATGAATTTATTCCCTGTTAGGATCCTGGAACAGAAAACGATATTAGGTAAAAGCAGAAGAAATCTAAATAAAGGATGGACTTGAGTTAATAATATTGGTATTGGTTCGCTAATTGTTAAAAATGTACCATACTAATGCAGACTGTTAATAACAGGGGGCACTTCTGTGTGCATCTTTTAAGAGTGAAAGAAAAAAACAAACAGGGGAAACTGAATTGTGGGATGTACAAGAATTATTCTATCTTTGCAGTAATTCTGTAAATCTAAAACTGTTCTAAAATAAAAAGCAAATTTTAAAATATTCCAACACATGAGAGGTTTGATAAGATTATTTAGTTGCTTAGCTCTTTTGTATAAAGTAAAATGAAGGTCCTTTGTATGTACACCACTGACTTGAGAGTTACTTTACAAAAGGTAATTTTTAATACCAATTTTAAAAGTCCTTTATTTTAGAAGAATCTGGAAAATATTGTTTTTATTTCCTTTCCAATTCCATCCACCATATAATGTCACTAGTTGTGAAGATTAAATCCTCTTTTTAGTAAGTTGGTGCCGATTTTTTTCAAGGTTTTTTTCCTTCTTCTCTTTCTTGCCAAGTCACTGTTTGACCTAAAGGGCAAATTAGATGGTTTCCATTTCCTTTTTCTTGATTCAAGTCCATTTTTCTCCCTAGAGTCATTTACTGAAATGCTTGATTTAACTGCCAGGCCAGTAAAATGATACACTGTTTTTGATACTTCTGTTAACAGATCTGTCATCCTTTGGAAGGCTGACGTCTCTTGCCAAGTCTCTGTGGTTTATCCTAGATTATCTAAATTGGCTTCCTCATCTGCTGAAATTTGATGTGCAGAATTTAATTCTGAGCTCATTTTTTAAAAAATATATCTTTGTTGTTTATTATGATATTTGCATAAATAAGATTCATGAATTTTAGAATGCAGTCGATGATTTTAATTATTGCAGCAAATACTACTGCAATCAAAGTATGGAATAGATCCCTTGGCTGAAAAAGTTTGTTGTGCTCTTTTATATTCCAACTTCTTCCTCAACAAGTACCCCAGGCAACCGCTGAGATGTCACAAGAATTTTGTCTTTTTTAGAATCTTATTGAAATGGAATCATAAGTGCACAGCGGTAAAGAATTCACATGCCAATGCAAGAGATGTGGATTCCATCCCTAGGTCAGGAAGGTCCTCTGGAGGAGGAAGCGACAACCTACTCCAGTATTCTTGCCTGGAACATCCCACGGACAGAGGAGCCTGGTGGGCTATACAGTCTGTAGGGTCACAAAGAATCGGACATGGCTGAGAGACTGAGCAAACACACACATACAGTACACAGACTTTTGTGTTGGACTTCATTTCACATAATATTTTTAAGATATGCTGATCTCCTCTTTGTTATTGAGTAATATTTATGGGCCTTCCAGGTGGCGATCATGGTAGAGAACCTGCCTGCCAAAGCAGGTTAGATGTAAGAAATGTGGGTTCCGTCCCTGGGTCGGGAAGGTCCCCTGGAGGAGGGAATGGCTACACCTTCCAATATTCTTGCCTGGAGAATCCCATAGACAGAGGAGCTTGATGGGCTGCTGTCCATGGGGTCACAAAGAGTTGAACACGACTGAAGCAACTTAGGACGTATGCATACAGTGTTTATGGTATGGATACAGCATTCTTTTTAATCTGTTCACTAACTGATTAGCCATTTGGATTGCTTCCAGTTTGGGACCATCATAAAAATAACTACCCATATGTAGCTGTTAGGAATAATTGGCATATACACTTCTGTGTGGACACATATTTTCACTTCCTGTGGCAATACCTAGCACTGGATTACTAGTCATGTCTACTTTTATAAAGTTCTGCCATGTTGTTTCCTAAAGTGACTCTTTGGTCTTCGGTTTGCACCAGCAATGCAAAAGATTTCTAGTTTTTCTACATCATTGTTAACACTTGATTTTGTAAGTAATTTTAACTTCTAGCCATTCTAGTGGTTATGTATGGTGTGTGTGATTTTTAATTTGCTTTTATCTGATGACTAATGATGTTGAGCATTTTTTCATATAACTATTGATTATGCTTATATCTTCTTTTGTGAAATATTTGTTCAAATAATTTGTTCATTTTAAAATTGGACTGTTTGTCTTCTCATTGTGGAGTTGCAAGAGTTTTTTTATACAATCTGGATAAAAGCCCTGTTTTCAACATACACTTTACAAAAACTTGTCTTTTTTCCCTCCTCTATGTCTTTTGAAGAGCCAAAGTTAAAGAAAACTTCTTAATCTTGATGAAGGTCATTTTATTAAAATACCTTTCATAGTGTGTGCTTTGGTGTCCTGTTTAAGAAATCTTTGCCTAGCTGTATGCCACAAAATATTCTTCCTACTTTAAGTAATAGTTTTAGCTCTTACATTATATTACTTATGAGTCAGTTTTTGTGTATGCCCTGCTCCATCTTCTTTCCTTTCCTTCTGATATTCTTTTTTACGTTGAAGCATAGTTTGCTTACAACATTGTATCAGTTTCAGGTGTACAATGTAATCATTTAATATTTTTGTTTGTACTCTGTGTGAAGTTGCTGTGAAGTGTTCTGCCTGGAGAATCCCATAGACAGAGGAGCTTGATGGGCTGCTGTCCATGGGGTCACAAAGAGTTGAACACGACTGAAGCAACTTAGGACGTATGCATACAGTGTTTATGGTATGGATACAGCATTCTTTTTAATCTGTTCACTAACTGATTAGCCATTTGGATTGCTTCCAGTTTGGGACCATCATAAAAATAACTACCCATATGTAGCTGTTAGGAATAATTGGCATATACACTTCTGTGTGGACACATATTTTCACTTCCTGTGGCAATACCTAGCACTGGATTACTAGTCATGTCTACTTTTATAAAGTTCTGCCATGTTGTTTCCTAAAGTGACTCTTTGGTCTTCGGTTTGCACCAGCAATGCAAAAGATTTCTAGTTTTTCTACATCATTGTTAACACTTGATTTTGTAAGTAATTTTAACTTCTAGCCATTCTAGTGGTTATGTATGGTGTGTGTGATTTTTAATTTGCTTTTATCTGATGACTAATGATGTTGAGCATTTTTTCATATAACTATTGATTATGCTTATATCTTCTTTTGTGAAATATTTGTTCAAATAATTTGTTCATTTTAAAATTGGACTGTTTGTCTTCTCATTGTGGAGTTGCAAGAGTTTTTTTATACAATCTGGATAAAAGCCCTGTTTTCAACATACACTTTACAAAAACTTGTCTTTTTTCCCTCCTCTATGTCTTTTGAAGAGCCAAAGTTAAAGAAAACTTCTTAATCTTGATGAAGGTCATTTTATTAAAATACCTTTCATAGTGTGTGCTTTGGTGTCCTGTTTAAGAAATCTTTGCCTAGCTGTATGCCACAAAATATTC